AAAGTAAACAGCATTTTTCATTTTTTGCTTCAGTATTGTCCATTGCACAATTTGGAAAAAAAGGTAGGTTTTATATACATGTGAAACTAATAGACAGAATAAATCAATATTTTATGTAAGCCTTGTGCGTTTGAACGTTGCTATCTGTTAATGACATTTATTCTTTTGCCGTCGAGAAAAACACGCGAGAGTTGAGAAAAAGGTTTCACTACTCTCTAACTTCTGTAGCATGATAGTTAATGTTTGTGCTAAAGCTGCGAAATGGACAAAAGCTGCTAGCCATTAAACATCAAAGCACAAAAGAGAAAAAGGTAAAGTGGGTTTCGTTTCAGTGCATCATAGAGCAAGACATAATTTTAACATTTACTAAGCGATTGATAAGAAAAACTTAGGAACTTCGAGCATAAAGTGTCAGAGTTTTTGAGTTCAAGACAAAAATGAATTATAAAATAATTGAGATCCTCTCTATTGTAAACTTCAATACAATTCGTGTAGCTCTTACCGTTTATTAACAGACAACTAACATTAGAACACATGAATATTTATGTCGAACTCACAAGGGATTTTACCAACTGATACATTCAGTTTGAGCTTATATTTTGCTCATTAGTACGGGTCATAGAGTAGAGTAAGACCCTAAAAGGATTCTTGAGGATATGAGTATGGGTGTGGGTGTGAAGTAGGTGGGTGGGTGTTTCTTTATTCTCTTACATTCACACCCATACCCTAGTAAGGGTATGAATGTAAATATGACAAGAGTACAACACCCACACTCGCTCATAGAGCGTACATATATGTATAAAAGTTATTATTCGGTTTTCTCGATTTATAGATTTCTCGAAATTCGTGCTTCGTACCGCATTTCGTATTCGAGTGAAACTAGAAAACCATCTACACTGTAAAACATAAGAGTAGAATATTAAACCCTACGAAAGGGTTTATTACTATCAGAAATCCTTTTGCAGGATTCGATATTCTACTCTCATTTTTTACAGTGTAGTTGTTTTTGAGTTCAGAATTCATGGAGTTCTGGCACGTCACATTTTCTGAAACTTTCAAGGCGCTACCTGACTTCAGAGAGAAATTCGTCTCCTCTATCGGTTTTAATTATAGAATGAACTTACTGTTTTAGTATGTCTATTATGAATCCAGTTACAGTAGTCGATAGCAATTGTTTTGGTAAAAAATCTACAAAAGAAAACGAAGAAGACAACGAAAACGAAGAAACAGAATCCAAACAATGGTGGGAGGACTATATTCCGTTCAGTGATACTTTCAAACAGATTTCGTTCATCGCTTCGATTGGAGTGGGATTCACGCTGTCTACCTCTGTATCTCTTGCGTTGGCGAGCAGTTTTCAGAATCAAAGTGACAGCAATACCTTGGATTCAGTCACAAGAGCCTCCCAAATTTTTGCATGGGCAGCATCAGCATATGCGGTTGCTTTATTTGCGTCCCTCATAGGAAACGTGATATTCGAGTTCGATTGTGTGGTACTGTCATTACAAGAAAGAGGACATGGAAATCAATTAAACTGTTTCCTCAATTTGATATTTTACGCGTTCGTATTTCTCATGATGGGATTTGTACTCGCAGCGACAGTGCTAACGGGAATAGGGCTCAATATATTTGCTGGAGGTGCTGGAACAATGTTGCTATGGTCATTACTTGGTTTCACCGTTCCAATGGTCGTAGTGTATATATTGACAAATGTATACATCAATAAGCATTTCCGATGCAAACCAAAACGAAAAACGTTAAAAAAACTGAATGCATTTTGGGGTAAATAGGATCTTGGAGCATATGGGTGGGGTAACATACTGGGTTGCAAGGGACGCGAGGGTTGCTGTAAAAGGGTAGAGCCTAAAACGAAATCATAACCTTGACACTAACCGTCACTTTCCTTCCACTGATCATTGGTGATTAGCACTCCTCTGTCATCAGACACCGACTACTACCTTCTTCGTTCTCAGTTCGCTCTCCTCGATTTACCTTTTTTCTCCACATTCTTCTTGTGCTTGTCTCGCTCTCATACCCACCACTCTGTTTTTTCTGCTCTGCAAACCAAGTCTTTTTGCTCACCTCTCTCTACTCTTTTCCTATTTTGAAATAAACGCCCTACTCCTGATCAACCACTAGATTGTGCGTTCCAGAGTTGTACAGGTAGGCATTATTCCCTGCCTGGTGGGTGTGGTTACAGATGTGAATGTGGGTGAGGATGGGTGCGAGCGTAGGTCTGAATATCTTGTATACATGAATATTATATCCACACCTACACCTAAAGCTAATGTTGTTTCTCGAATATCAAGTGATGGTAGTTCACCACGACAAGAAGCACAACGACTTGGTGGAATTTTACGTATAAAGAAATATTCGTTTATTTCATTCTAATACAAAAATGAATTTAATTGATTTTATTTAGATATTATTAATATCAAGGAGAATAATGCGTTTTTTATACACTCATTTAACAAAATACAGATGAAATGAATCACTTATCAAAACGGAAAAGTTTTCTTATCGATCAAGGTTAGGAGTGTGGGTGAATGCCCGTGGGTGTGTAATAACTATATAACTCACCCCCACACTCAACTGTGTGCGAGTAGATAATAAGAAATAACTAAAATCTTAGTCAGTTAATTGATCATGTATATAAAAAATGCTAAATTTTAGTGGAAAAATCGAATTCAGATCCGACATAAGAAAAACATACATTCACAGCTTTCTAATGATCATATAACGTCACGAACAAGCTATAAGAAGATAAAATAAACTTTGATGAAGTAAACAAACAATTAATTAATAAAATTTTACTTTCACAAGTTCAAAAGTTGGTCAAATACTTTTCAATATTTTTTTTACTTTAAGAAACCTAATTATTATTTTTTAGATAAATTCATTGAAGTATTTTATTTTAATGAGATCAGCATCTTTTTCTTTCTACATTTACTATTATATTCATCAACTTGAGGATATTCTTTAACTTGACTGTTTGATAATACCACAAAAACTTCTTCATAAATAAGTACATCCTGAAAATAATTATAAAAATTATTTAATACTAGATTAGTTGAGGGTGTGGGTGTGGGCCTGGATAGATGTGTTTATGTTCTCTGAACTCGAATCCACACCCTTATTTACATCGACTTCGTCTGGTCTGAAGTTCTAGTGGACCTGCATCTAATAACTTTGCGCATGAATATTTTTTTTTCTTTTCTCTTTTATCGTTATTATGTTGCATACGTTTTATATCATCTTTTTTTTTCCTCGATTAAATGTTTTTTTCCTGCTTTCCTTTTTAATGTGAATGGGCCCACATTTATGTTAATGGGGATGCATGTTAGAGAAAGACGGCGCACATATCTCTACATACTCTTTTACGTATTTTGTGTATCTCTGCTTTATTCACATTCTTTTCTTTTTTATTCTTTTCTTTCTTCTCTCTTCTATTTTACACCGCTAGATTCAGTAAGAGTATGATTTTCTTCTCGTCTTTTTTTCTTTCTCGGTCTACTCTAATTCTTCCTGACGTAGTAAAAGAAAAATATTTCTTTCAATTACACATCAAAAGCGTTATGCTTGAAAAAAACCAAGTTTATTGTTCTCATCCTTGAACATTTATATAACTCCTAACGTAGAGCATAAGCAAAACAGAGTATTAACGTGCATAATCAACTTTACATCGGGTGACCGAGTTTAATTCCAGTTTAGTTTGATTGAATCCACAACTTAATTGATGCCACAGCAGTGACAAGTATATTTCTTCATCTTTGCAAGAGATATCCATATTTAAAACATTTCGTGGTTGTAATAAATCCTTCGATTATCTTAGTAAGAGAAAGAAGATGGTAAGAAGGGAATTTTCATAATGTCCACCAAAACATCATTACTTTTCTTTGATTAATATGTTCATTTTAGACTAGAATTTGAACCGGTTGATTCAGTTTACCTTTTATGTCTGATGACAATAATATCAAACTAACGAGTATGACAAATGGAAGTTATACAAACTGAAAAATGCTGTCGACACACCTAATACACTTGCAAGACAAAGAACGAAAAAGAAGAGAAACCTTTATCCGTGATGATTTCACTATTACCACATTGTCTCCAACAGTTCCTATACTTTCCTTTCTTAACAATGCTACTATGCACCAGTTATCATATCCAGAAGATACAAATCGTCAAGAAGCTGAATCTATGTATGCTTTATTATTGCGAGACCTATTAATTGAAATTGAATCGAATAAAGAAGAAATGGTCACTTTTTGTCGTCAGAAGTGTGCAAATGACACAACACAATTACGCTACATTCAAGATTTTGAAAACAAATACGCACCTTCTCAAACAATCAACTGGTATACCCGAGACACGTTTCTCTATCGTCTTCTCAATAAAGCTTTGAGGGACCAGGACATTGGTACACTTTATTCACTTCGTTATTTTATCAAAGACTTGCATTTACAACTTCACAATGAATATATTTCGCAACAACAGTCAGAAACTATTACCACTGTTTATCGTGGACAGCTAATGAGCGATGAAGAATTTGACAAAAGAATACGATGCAACGTTGGTGGCTTATTTTCAGTTTATAGTTTTTTATCAACAACATTCAATAAGCGACTAGCTATTCTATATGCTGGTAACCACAATCGGAACGATACGTCTTCTGAACAAAGTGTTTTATTCCATATTGATTTGAATAAACCTATCACCAAGTTTCCATATGCCAATATTTCCACATTAAGTGCATTTGAGGCTGAAGATGAAATCTTGTTTACAATGGGTGCGGTGTTTCGGATTGTATCGATCAAAAAACGTGATAAAGATTGTTGTTGGAATGTTTATTTACAATTGACTAACAAAGAAGACAAAGAATTGAGAACATTAACTGGATATATGAGAAAAGAGATTAAACAACAAAATCCACTTTTTACCTTGATAAATTTGGTAAGACATATGGCCAATTATGAACAAGCTGAAAAATTCTGTCAGCTGTTATTAAAAGATCCATAATTTATCAACGAATTTAGCTCAGTTTGCAACATAAAAAACGTGCTAGGTTGCATTTATAGTGATATGGGTCAACATGCGAAAGCAACTGAATGGCTTAAGAAATTAATTAATGATATTTCAGTGCATTCATCACCTTTTTATTACATTATAGTAGCGCATGCTTATAACCATTTAGCAGTTGCCTATATACATCAAGACGAACGTGACAAAGCATTAGAATGTTTCTGTACCGCTTTAGATATAGTGTCAAACAGTACCAGTCCAGATAAGATGGGAACTGCAACACTGTACAGTAACATTGGAGCGGTATATATAAAGCAAAAGCGTATTTCAGAAGCTTTGGAAATGTTTGAAAAGTCTCTTGAAATTCATTCAAGACTTGTTCCTTCTAACCATCCTTCACTTGCTTCACTCCACAACTCTATCGCGACAGCTTATATTTTCCAAGACGATTATGATGATGCGCTGGAACATTACGATAAAGCACGTCAAATTCAGTGCAGTTCTCTTCAGTCACACCATCCGGACATAGCTGCAGTCTATTACAATATAGCAACGGTGCTATTGAAAAAGGACGACTTATTGAAAGCATTAGAAATGTACAACAAATCTCTAGAAATGCGACTAAAGATTCTTCCTCCAGATCATCTAGATATTGCCGCATCGTACACTGCTGTTTCACTTATTGAACAAATAAGAGGCAACTATAACGAAGCACTAAAAGGTTTTAATCAAGCACATCAAATTCGAGTGAATGATTTTAAAAACTATCATGTAGATATCGACGTCATCTACAAAAACTTAGCGGAAGCATTTAGAGCAGAAGATGGCTCTTTTGCCATTCTAAAACAACCCTCAAAATTAATGGAAGAAGCGTTGATCCAAGTAAAAAAAGCACAGGATATGCTTACAGCGTATCAAAAGGTCAATTTTCCAAAAATTATGCAAGATCTGATGGGCATTGACCTTATAAAGAAACAGATTGAAGCGAATGTCTATCCTTTACCCTAAATCTGGTACCCGGAATGCATCCCTA